CATAAATTGGTACAAGCACTATGGAGAACAGTATGGAGGTTTCTTTCAAAACTAAGAATAGAGCTACCATATGATCCAGCAATCCCACTCCTGGATATATATTCAGAGAAAACCATGGTTTCAAAGGATACATCCACCCCAATGTTCATTGTAATGCTGTTTACAATAGCCAAACATGGAAGCAACCTAAATGTTCATGGACAGATGAATGGATAAAGAAGATATGCTACATATATACGATGGAATATTACTCAGCCATTAAAAAGAATGAAAAATGCCATTTGTAGCAACATGGATGGACCTGGAGATTACCACACTAAGTGAAGTAAGTCATTCTAACAAAGTCAAATATACAATATCACTGATATGCGGAATCTAGAAAAAATGATACAAATGAACTTATTTACAAAACAGAAACACTCACAGACTTAGAGAATGAATTTATGGTTACCAGAGGGAATGGGTGGGGTGGGGGTAGGGATAGATTGGGAGTTTGGGATTGACATGTACACAGTACTAAATTTAAAATAGATAACCAACAAAGACCTACTGTATAATACAGGGAACTCAGCTCAATATTCTGTAATAATCTAAGTGGGAAAAGAATTTGAAAAAGAATATATACTTATGTGTATAACTGAATCACTTTGCTGTACGCCTGTAACTAACACATCATTGTTAATCAACTGTACTCCAATATAAAAATTTTTTGAGAAAAGAAAAATATCACGGGTTATGATATAATAAAACCTACCTACCTGACATTTTATCTAAGAATGGTTGCTTTATTCCTGCATATTAAATTGTTCCAGAAGTCATAGATAATCATTTGGTTAATAGCTTTTTAGAATCTTTATCCAAAATTTCTACTTAAAAAAAAAATTGTCCTACCTTGAGTTAGGAATCTTTACATAATAAAAAGGAAAATATTCTTCTAAAGAAGTATTGGCCAGCCTATTTATTAACCCTGTCCCTTTTAAGAATTCTCTTCAAAATAAGTGTTTTCAGACATGCACCATGTTCTGAAAACTTTCATGGCATATTTTTCTTCATTTTAGAGAGAACTGTATGATATGTTCATGTTTCCATGTTATGGCTAACATGAAAGGACCCAAAGTGCTTCTGTTTACTGGCTCAGCTATTTTAATATGGTGATTTAAAGTTTCAACTGTTTTGAGTTTGGATTCAGCTCTTTAATTATATCTGTTTATGCACAGCAGTAAACCCTAAGGCATTGTGGTAGAATATTCTCTTCTGATGTTGACTCGACTGTCACTTGAATATTGTGGACTCCCTTTTGGTAGCCACTTCTCTCTTCTGTAGTTTCAATCTAATGGGTATTATTTAGAAGTTGGATTGATTTACAGAGTATTTCATACTGAAACCTGTAAACATATAGGTTTATTTCTATTCTTCATGTCCATAATTACATGTAACATTTTTGTTGAGCTAGAGGTTTCAGGAGGACCTGATTAAAACCTTTATACCATTAGTAGAATATTACTTTATAATTACACAGAATGATTAAAAATAGAGCTTAGTATATGCTGTAAGCTTGTACAGTTTCTTACTCAGTTTTCTTACTTACTATGCCCAGAATCTGGTGCTTGGCCCATAATTGGCATTTCATATATGTTGTTGATTCATGAATACTTAGCATATTTAGTCAAAACAGGCATGTTGTGAATAACCACTTATGTCATTTTATTATTATTTTAATATTTTTCCAAAACAATTATATTCATAAATACAAACATTTTATTCTTTTCTAAATGTTACTTTTTAGTAGTTTGCTGGGAATGGTAATTAATCACTTTTATTTTCCTTTTCATAAATTGCAGTAATTAATAACCACTTAGAACCTCATACATAGTATTTTAAATAGCTTTTACATTTATAGCATTAAGAAGTTCTTTAGATTATAGCATTTAAACTTCATTTAGGTGTAGTGTTGAAAATATGCTTCTTTTAAAATTTACTTTTAATTCCTCATAGTGCTTTTAAAGATGAGAAAATCTTGGGGCTTAATGTACTTTGCCTTGGGTAATAATAGCTGATAGTGTGTGATAGAGGCTAGATTTGAATCTGGTATTCTAAAGTCTATTATCTTAATTATCTTGACATCACCACAATGGAAAACTTAAATAAAACTTAAATAGGTGAACCTTAGAGTGGGCATTCTTTCTTTCATTTTCTGTTCTTCCTGTGTCCCTTTACTCCATGGTTCACTCTTGAGTATTTCTGTCAGGACTGTCCCTCTTTTTAAGTGTCTGTTCTCCATTCTTTACATTAAAAGCCAATTGGCAGGAATTCCGTGGTGGTCTAGTGGTTAGGACTCTGTGCTTCCACTGCAGGGGCTACGGGTTCGATGATCCCTGATTGGGGAACTAAGTTCCCACAAGGCATGTGGCAAGGCCAAAAATAAAACAAAACCAAAAAACACCAATGGGTCAATTACTCAATCGTCAGATATTTACTGTGTACCCTTATGTGCTGTCACTGCTGTAGGTGCTGTGAGGAAGAGTCATACACATAATTCCTAACTTTTAAGTAATTCATCTAGCTAGGACATCAAATTAACATTAATTAAATGTCTGCAAGACAGTATAGTGAACCATTGGCTGGAAGCTTGATAGGAATTTTATAAAGAAGGAAACAGGAAGGAACAGTGGGCTTCAAAGAGAATCAGATTGAGTCTGTACCTTATAGGCAGAGGTAAGTTGGGGGAAATTATGTGGTTCTTTATTGGTGTAAGTTAGTATAATATCTTTGGTATTTTAAAACTTTGGTATTTCAAATAAAAAATATAAATTGGCATACTATATTTGATTTTTTTTAGCATTCATATTTCAGAAAGTGTGTAACGTTGTTAGGTATTTAACTGTGAAACGATGGATTTTATGATCTGCCGATTCTATTACCTTTTCATTATTTTACATACCACCAGGTTCTCACTTCCCTCCTCACCCATTTTTAGTTCCTTAGTTGATTATCTAAACCACTCCCTTGTCTTGCATCCTGAATTCTGTTTCACTTTCTTGCATTTTCAAACTTACTTAGTTAAAATATAGCTTTGTTAAATGCAATCCTTTGTATTCCCCGTCTGCACCCATGTAACTGAAGTTATCTGGGGAAAAATATACAACCATGATCCCTGGTGGTACTTTAAATTCTTAATCATTAAATTCCATTGGACCCTTAATGTTGTTTAGTAGTCATGGATGTTTCCCTAGTCTGTTTGCTCCTAGAAGGCTATTATATATCTTCTCTTTTCTCAGAGCCCAAGTGCATCCTCTTCCAAACATATTCTTAAGGATGGCTTTACATGCTAATTCATTGAAAAAGTAGAAGCAATGAGCAAATAATTTCTACCAGCTCTGGGCTCCTTTACCCTATCTTCTCTCCTGTTGCATCACTAAACTCTCTATACTCCTGATTACAGCCAGCCCTCTACTTGTTCAGTGAATCCTATCCCTTTTTGACTATATAAGGAAGTTGCTCCAGAAATTTTCTCCTCTTTCCTGTATCATCAAAATTACCTTCTTTTTGGATTATTACTGTCAGAATTCACTCACTTGGAAAATACTTATTGAGTGCTATATGTTAGTTCTCGGTGCTAACGATATATTAGTAGAGCTTATATTCTAGTTGAAGAAACAGACAGTAAATAAAAAAGATATTAAGTTAGTCATCTCATATGTACAAAGATGGAAACATGCTATGGGAAATAAACAGTAAAGCAGGTAAGAGGAGTTGGGGTGTCCTGGGTAAAGGATGCAGATTTCAGTACTGAGTGGCATGGTTGAGGTAGGCTTCAGTGTGAAGGTTAGAATTGATTTAAGACTTGAAGGAGGTGAGGAGTTAACTGTGGGGTTGTGTGAGGGGAAGAATGCCTGGCAGAAGGCACAACTAGACAAAAGCCCCTAAAGAGAGAGAGTGCAGTGCATTTCCTCAACAACAGTCTGTTGCAGTGTCAGCAGACAGCCCTATCCTATTTTCTCTTGTTGTCCAATACCAGATATCCTTTGGAGTGTAGCTCAGGTGTACACCTAATAATAGCAGCTAACATTTATTGAAAACTTACTGTGTGTCACACACCATGCTAAGTACTACAATTACATATTATTAATCCCTACATCAATTTTATAATGTAGGTACTCTTACTGCTTCCCATTTAATACTTGAAGACCAGAGAAATTAATTGACTTGTCTAAGCTTGCATCGTTAATGGTAGGAAAAAAAGTTGAATCCAGGCACAGTAGTGTTGAAATCCATACTTTTAGCCACTATGCTATGTTCCTTTTCTTTGAAGTCTTCCTAGATATAGATAATTGCTGACAGAATTTATCACTTCTGACTGACTGGCTCTAGGTACTATAGATTACTAAGAGTTTTAGGGGGTGCATACTGTCAAAGGCTTATAATCTAGGTAGGGATAAGGATACCTTCTTAAAAATGATAAATAGTAATATAATATACTCTATGCTAAGTGAAAAATGAGGGGTACAATAATAAATAATGAGAATGTAGAGTGGAGAATGTAGTGAGAATGTTATGAGAATATAGCTTGGGGAATGGTCAGTCTAGGACCAGGTTGTTATAAAAAGCTTCATGGAAGGAGTAGAATTTGATCTGGACTTAAAGGACAGGTATTCTTTTGGCTGTTGGGGATTACATATGGTTAGGGGTAACATAAATGGAAAACATTCCAAATAGTAGTAGTAGCTGGATCAAAGGTATGGATAGAGGAAAGAGCAAGATGTATTTAAGGAAAGTTTAATAGTCCAATTTGGCTGGTTAATAGAGCATGTGACCAGAATGGGTGATGGGTTGGAAAGGAATACTGAAATTAGGTTATGAACAAACAGCCTTGAGTGGAGATCCATAGAAATCTGTAAGGTTGCAGTGGTTTGTTTAGAATAGAACTCTGTACTTCTCAACTGTTTACTTCTTGGTTTAAGTATAAGTATATTCAAAGAGACATTTTATTTTATTTCTAGAATGCCAGTTAATGAAAACAGAACGACCAAAGCCAAACACATTTATTATCAGATGTCTCCAGTGGACCACTGTTATAGAGAGAACATTTCATGTAGACACTCCAGAGGAAAGGTAAGAAACTCATTTTTTCCATTTTGTGATAAAGTGACAATCAGTCAAAAGGTGTATATGTATCTGACTTGACCACTTGTAAATATCTGTAAATAGACTTGTAAAATGCTATAGTCCCCTAATTATTCTGTTTCTGGTATAACAGATAAATGACAGGCTTACAAAAATACTAAATCAAAACCTCTAGAAGTGCTATAAGATGTACTTTTTAACAGAAAATAGAGCATTTAAAAGTTAAAATGTAAATTAAAGAGGACATTTTAATCACCAAGCTACCTTTTAAAAATTATGTAATTGATTGTGTTCATATTTGGAATTCTAAGACTGGTGACGGCAAAAGGTTTCAAGTAGTGTGCCATTATGCAAGTGACTTCCTGGAGTGTTATGCTGAGAAGGATTCTGAGATTGGGTCTAAGCTCAGTGAGGAAAAAAAAAATCGGGCTTGATTGGCATTGACTATCATCATTGCTAAAGAGGGGGTTGGCAAAATGTTAGTAACTAGCACACCAACTTCATCAGGCCCACATTTCATCCTCCTGATCTACTATCCTCCAATTCTGTCTTAATACCTTTTATCTGGGGCTCTGATCCTGAGTTAGGTCCAACAACCACAAAATCACTTTTCTACACGTTATCATATATGATCCAAATCAGAAACTTTGTGAAGTTACATGTTATTAGCCTTATTTTCCAAATGAATAAATTAGGTCCTAAGAGACTTGTCTAAGATTTAAAACAAAAACAACCTCTTCCCCAAATGTAGTAAATAGTAAAGTATTATTTTAATAATACTCTTTTCATCAATAAATAGTAAACAGTAACGTATGGTTAATTACTTCAGGAAATATAGAAAAGAAGAAAAATAGAAAAGAATGAAAATTTACTCAGAATTCTAATTCTACAACCAGAGTTAGGGACTGATAATATTTTCTTTTATATTCTTCCAGTCTTACTCTGTGCAGATGTATTTAGGTCTTTGGTATACATAAAATTTGGTATGTCCTCCCTCCCCACACACCCTTGTCTTCCCTGGCCATTTCTATGTGCTGGATCCTCAGTTTGCTTATGTCTCCACCCATAACCATTGTTGCGCTAGTTACCATGTATCTTTCAGATCTGAGCTTAAAATGTCACATTTCCTACAAAACATTCTCTGACTCTTATAGAAGAGGTAGGACTCCCTTGCTATATACTTAGTTATCTCCTTGTATCCTTTGTATCAGGTATATCTCCACTGTAATCTTTGTTTGCCTTTCTCACTTGACTATAAGATTCTTGACTAGCAAGTATCATATCTTCCTTGCTCATCATTTTATATTTAGCACACAGTCCAAGGTCTGACATAGTATTTGTTAACTGGCTGAATGAACAGAACTTTTCCCATGTCAGTATATAGTCTTTGAAAATATTATTCTTAGTGGGTTTATAACATCCCATTGAAACATTAATTTTTTCATTTATGTTGGCAAACCTGGACTTAAGCCATATCTTAATAATTATTACTAGTTTTTCAAAATAGTCTCAGCTTTTTTAGTACATTCTTTAAAAGTTTTGATTAAAAAACAATATGAAATCTACATAACAAATTTTTAAGTTATGGTATAGTATTATAAACTATATGCACATTACTGTAGAGCAGATCTCTATAACTTTTTCATCTTGCGTGGCTGAACCTCCATACCACTGAATAGCAACTCCCCATTTCCCTTTCCCACCCCTGTCAACCACCATTCTACTTTCTGCTTCTATGAGTTTGACTACCTCACCTTACAGATACCTCATATAAGTGGAAGCATACAATATTTGTCTTTCCGTGATTGTTTCATTTCACTTAGCATAACGTCCATGTTGTAGCATATGACAGGATTTCCTTCTTTTTTTAAGATTATAATGTTCCATTATATGTTTATACCATATTTTCTTTATCCATTCAACCATCAATGAACATTTAGGTTGTTTCCATCACTTAGCTATTTTGAATAATACTGCAGTGAACAGGGGAGTACAAATATCTCTTCAAGATCCTGATTTCAAATCTTTGGGATAAATACCTGGAAGTGGATTGCTGGATCTTAGGGTAGTTTTATTTTAAAATTTTTTAATTAAAAAAATTTTTAATTGAAGTATAATTGATTTACAGTGTTGTGTTAGTTTCAGGTATACAGCAAAGTGATTCAGTTATACATATAAATCTGTTTTTTTCAGATTCTTTTCCCTTATAGGTTATTATAAAATATTGAGTGTAGTTCCCTGTGCTATACAGTAGGTCCTTGTTGGTTATGTATTTTACATATAGTAGTTTGTACCTGTTAATCCCAAACTCCTGTGTTAATTAATCTTTTGAGGAGCTTCCATAGTATTTTCCATAGTGGCTGTGCCATTTTATATTCCCATCAGCAGTGCACGAGGGTTCCAATTTCTCCACATTCTCACAGTCTTATAGAGGCCATTCTAACAGGTGTGACATGATGTCTCATGTGGTTTTGACTTGCATTCCCATGTTGATTAATGATGTTGAGCATCTTTTCATATAACTGTGATCATTTGTATATCTTCTTTGAAGAAATAACTATTCAAGTCTTTTGGCCATTTTAAAAAGCAGGTTATTTGTTTATAGTAATCTCTTATAATCCTTTTTATTTCTGTAGTATCAGTTTTAATGTCTCCTCTTCGACTTCTGATTTTATTTGAGTCTTCTCTCCTTTTTTTCTTAGTTTAGCTAAAGCTTTGTCAATTTTGTTGATCTTTTCAACAACCCAACTCTTACTTTCATTGAATATTTCTATTCTCTATTTTGTGTGTTTCTGGTCTAATGTTTATTATTTTCTTCCTTCTGCTAACTGTAGGCTTAGTGTGTATGTATAAAGTTAGGTTGCTTATTTCAGGTCTTTGCCCTTTTTTTTTTTTTCTTTTGTGGTACACGGCCCTCTCACCGCTGTGGCCTCTCCCGCTGCGGAGCACAGGCTCCGGACGCACAGGCCCGGCGGCCACGGCCCACGGGCCCAGCCGCTCCGCGGCATGCGGGATCTTCCCGGACCGGGGCATGAACCCGCGTCCCCTGCATTGGCAGGCAGACTCCCAGCCACTACACCACCAGGGAAGCCCATGCTCTTTTTTAATGTAGATATTTATAGCCAAAAATCTTCCATCTTAGTACCACTTTTGTTGCAACCTATAAGTTTTGGTATATTGTATTTTTGTTTTCATTTGTCTCAAGATTTTTTTATTTCTCTTTTGATTTCTTCTTGAATTCACTGGTTGTTCAGTAGTATGAAATATGCACATATTTGCAGATTTTCCACTTTTCTTTCTGGTATTGATTTCTAGTTCTATCTCATTGTGGTCAAAAAAGTTACTTGGTATGATTTCAGTCTTCTTAACTTGGTTAAGACTTGTTTTATGACCAAACATGTTATCTATCTTGGAGAGTGTGCACTTAAGAAGAATGTTTATTTTGCTGCTGTTGGGTGGAATGTTCTGTATATGTCTGTTAGAGCACTTTGATCTATATAGCATTGTTCAAGTTCTGTTTCCACATTGATCTTATGTCTGGATATTCTATCTGTTATTAAAAGAGGGGTTTTGAAATCTCCTATTATTGTAATGCTGTCACTTCTCCAGTTTTGTTAGTGTTTGTTTCATATATTGCTGTCTTGTTGAGTTCACACATATTTATAATTTTTATATCTCCCTGGTGAATTGACCATCTTATCGTTATATAATGTCATTCTTTGTCTCTTGTGACAGTTTTTGATATAAAGTCTATTTTGTCTGGTGAAAGTATGGTTACCCCTGCTCTATTTTGTTTATCATTTTTTAATATCTTCTTCCATTCTTGTATTTTAACCTATGTATGTCCTAATATCTAAATTGAGTATCTTTAGACAACATATCATGGGATCTTTGTTTATTCATTCAGCCACTCTGTATCTTTTTATAGAGTTAAATCCATTTACCTTTTTAAGGTAATTACTGATGGGGATTTGCCATTTTTTAAATTGTTTTGTTTGACTTGTTGTGTTTTTTTTTTTTTTTTTTTTTTGGTGCCTCTTTTCCTCTCCTGTCATCTTCCTTTGTGTTTCATTGATGTTTTTGTATTAACATGCTTTGATTTCTTTCTCATTTTCTCTTGTGTATTTCTTATAGGTATTTTCTTTGTAGTTACCCTAGAGCTGATATAAAATAGCTTAAAGTTATAACAATCTATTTTAAAATGTTAATAACTTCAGTTGCATACAGACCTCTACTCTTTTACTTAAATCCTCATACTTTATGTTCTTGGTGTCATAATCACATCTTTTTATATTGAGTATCCATTAACATGTTTTTATATTTATAGTTTTTTAAATACTTTTTGTTTTCTTTTTTTGCGGTATGCGGGCCTCTCATTGTTGTGGCCTCTCCCGTTGTGGAGCACAGGCTCCGGATGCACAGGCTCAGCGTCCATGGCTCACGGGCCCAGCCGCTCCACGGCATGTGGGATCTTCCCAGACCAGGGTACGAACCCGTGTCCCCTGCATCGGCATGCAGACTCTCAACCACTGCACCACCAGGGAAGCCCAGTTTTTAAAATACTTTTGTCTTTTAACTTCCGTACAAGAATTAAGTGACTTACATACCATTGTTACAGTATTCCAATGTTATGTATTTTTAATATCTTTTTGTGTTTCTGTCTAGTGTCCTTTTGTTTCAACTTGAAGGACTCCCTTCAGCATTTCTTGTAAGGCACGTCTAGTAGTGATGAACACCTTCAGCTTTTGTTTACCTGGGAAAGTCTTTATTTCTCCTTTATTTTTGAAGGAGAAAGTTTCGACAATTATTTATTCTTGGTTGGCAGTTTTTGCCTTTAAACACTTTAAATATATCATTTCACTGTCTTCAGACCTGCAATGTTTCTGCTGAGAAATCCACTGATAGTCTTATGGAGACTCCCTTGTAGGTGATTAGTAGCTTTTCTCTTGCTTCTTTAAAGATTCTCTCTTTGTGTTTGACTTTTGACC